TCTCCTAAGGACATTAGCAAATGACTGGAGCATAATGGTTGGTGATGGAGTTATTTTGTGCTGGTCATTAGTTATTTATTTATTTTGCCAGTGTCTATTTCTTCTGCAGCGGGTTGAATATCCAAACAGTCTAAGAAGTCCCGTGTTCCTCCATGGATAAGAAAGCTCTGCCTTTAGTTATACTTTAAAGTGACCTGCTTGGGGAAAGTTCAGTTTAATACACCTTTCCCAGCAATGCATATGCACCTTTCCTTTCCTTCCATTATGTTCAGCCAAGAACAGAAGATGCTACCCTGTGTAAGCTGCAAGTCACTCAAGTCATACTTACATAGAGATATGGTCTTATCCTATGTGACGACGCTTACTGATTCGGACAATGTTGTGTGAGTCATATGCTCATTCATACCTGAAAGTACCCAGCATTTTGTTTACTCCTACCGGCCCTTGGGGAGTGAAGGAAATGTAAATATGTGCTGCTGGGGATGGGGGTGTACAGGCAAATCTGTGGTTTTGCCTCAGTGGCAGCAGCATAGCCAGTTGCATGGGACATAGTACTGCTCTGCTTTCAGAATTACCACTGATCACCGGTGATTCGTTCCCCAATCAGGGCACTATAGCGATGACACAAATGCAATGAGGCATAATAGCACTAATACAAATGTATTGAGGGTGCTATGGCACTGACACCAGTGTAAGGGAATCACAATAGCACTGACACCAACATAGTGGGCGAAATGACTTTGCTTAAGGTCAATACTTTTATTTTATGGCATAAAAAATTAGATAATATAATAAAACCAGTCTACTTTTTGCTGATGTATCTTTTGGTTCTAATACTGTACTGTATGGTAATCACTAAATCAAGTAACATACTTTCCTTTTACATGCATTTCTACTAAAAGTGCAATTATTCGATGGTAAACATAAGGAAACTGAGATGACAAATGACATACTGAGCACATTCCACATGACTTTATGAGTAAAATGACTTGGTTAGTTACAGTATGCTAGTAATTGTAAAGCCCAGACACTTTTTTTTTATCTTAATAAAGTGGCAAAGGGTTTAAAATATTTCAACATTTTATTGCAGTCTGAGTTCCTGTTTGGGGGGATTTCTCACTCCCTATTTCTGTGACAGGAAGTGATGGGAAATCTCTCCAACATGGGACACTGACACCAATTAAAACCTAAGAGCAGTTCAAATGTGTCCTCACTCTATCAAAATATGGCTAGAGGTGGGTTTCAAATCTTTAGAGCATCAATACATTTTTGTAGTAGAATTCCCCTTTCAGCAGAAGTACCCAGAGAAAATGTACGTATTTAAAAAGTGAGCATTATGCTGCAGTAGAGCTATGCTGCAATATTCTAGGCTCCAATAATGAAAAAGGTTTCAAATTTACCAGTTTACTGAATAAATAGTACATGTAACATGATTAAAAGACAATGAAGGTTGGTTACCAGGACTCCACATTTAACAACTGGTATCCTTTGATTGAAAAATATCTACATTTAAAATTGGCTATGAGTTGTCTTATTCCAGATCTGTATGGTGTTAGCTCCACCTTGAACTTTATCCTTTCTTTTGGCTTCAGGTAAGGAACCCTGCATCAAACATAAAAAAAAATAAAATTAGAAGTCATGATAATAACACCAAACTGGGGCAAAGCTAGGCCAAAATAGTAAGATGTCTAAGGCATAAAACATATCAGGAGACTGGAGGAACGTAAAGTGTTACTAAACCCACAACAGTAAAATCAGTCTGTATATGCAGTAAAACATGCTTGTTATACTCACTGTGGAACCTAAGGGGTTAATCCTCTGCATTGTGTAAAAAGGCTGTTTGGTCCTCTCTTTTCTGCCCATCCTCTTGTTCAAATGTTCATGTCTTATCTCCTGATAAGACAGACTGAATCCATAGCCATTCTGCATATGCTCAGTTTGGTGTGTATTGCTACAGAGGTTTTATTTTTTTCTTGGGAGAGTGCATGTGATTAGCACAGGGCCAATCAGCACTGTGCAGACAGAGGGTCAGGGGTTCTGCATCCTCTTAGAGCAGAAATAAAACTCCTCCTACAAGCTGTAACCAGTGCTCTGCTGAACACTGATAGACGCCACAAGACTGCTATATACTGCTGATGAGAAAAGGTATTTAGCAGTTTATATTTACTAAAATAATTGCATTTCCATGTTCTGTGTACTGTGGGAGACCAGATATAGTGAATGCAGGGTCCTGGGTTTAGAAACACTTTAAAGGATAAGTTCACCTTTTAGAAAAAAATAATAAATGCACATTTTTTGGAAGGTAAAAAAATGTACATTAATTATTTTTGTCTGCCTGTAAACCATTGCACCAGCGATCAGATTGCTGGTGCCATGCAGGTCTCCTGCAGATCTGTAAGTATTTCTGCATGCTTGTGCGGGATGTAAGAGCAAGCAGATATACTGACTGAAGAGTCAGTGAACTAAAATGGCGCTTAATAGTGCCATGGTGGTCCATTGAGGACTACGAGCTGACAGCTTCTAAGGCTGTTGGGACTTGTAGTCTCTCATTCATAGATGACTGTGAATGATTGACGCGGCCATGTAAGCAGAGTCCCGCACGGTGACTTTTTTTTTTAATTTGACAGCTAGCAAGGGGGGAGAAGATCCCCCTCACTAGCTGTCAAAGTGGGGATTGGGGGGGATTGGGGGCCGACCTGATCATAACATGTTACATGTTACACCCTGATTATGGGTCTAACATGTAACATGTTACAAAAGGTGAATTTATCCTTTAATTTGGTTTGTACAAGCATCAAGGGAAATGTAGGATATGATGAAACCTTTAAGTACATTAAGAGTGTAAATAAAGTTCAGCAGGGCAGTATTGTCAATATGACCTTAAATTGGCAGGAGGAAAGTTTTTAGAAACTATTATTTTACTGAAAGAGTAGAGGATGCTTAGAGTCAACAGTAAGAGCCCATTTACATCACACATGTTGGACCACATTGCTTAATGCCAGACAAAATTCATTGTTTCTAATAGGCTGAGTTCATACCAACTTATTGCATTGGTTAGCGCATTGTGAAAATGGAATGTGCTGCATTTAAGCACGTTGCAACACTCTGCAATGCATTACAGCACGCCACAACACTGATCAAGGATGGAAAAGGATTGTATTTTGGCTCCAACCAGGATCAATAATCCAGCACATCAATGCAACACTTTAAAATGATGTACATTAACACAAAGCAATGTGTTTACAATGGATGGCAATGTACATCCACTCAAGTGCATATAACATGCACAAATGCAACAGAAGTGTTATGAGTCTAACATGTTTAGGATAAACCTAGGTCTATTCACATACAGAAATGTTAAAACTCTTCTAAGTTTATTTTCCCTTACAGTAAAAGAAAGCAGATTCTTAAAATAGTGGTCAGAGCTTGAACTAACAGTCAAGGATACGGTCACCCATGTAACAGTTGCCACAACTGTTATTATGCATTTGACACCAGAGAAAGACCTTTCTGCAAAAATCTACACTCGCCGGCCACTTTATTAGGTACACCTGTTCAACTGCTTGGTAACACAAATTGCTAATCAGCCAATCACATGGCAGCAACTCAAAGCATGTAGACTTGGCAAAGACGACTTCAGCAAGTTCAAACCGAGCATCAGAATGGGAAAGAAAGGGGATTTAAGTAACTTTGAATGTGGCATGGTTGTTGGTGCCAGACGGGCTGGTCTGAGAATTTCAAAAACTGCTGATCTACTAGGACTTTCATGCACAACCATCTCTAGGGTTTAAAGAGAAAATATCAATATGGGAGACAATGGTCAACTTAATAAGGAAAATCTCAGGGATAAAGATAGGATTAGATACAGAAGTGTGCTTATTACATAATACAGAGCTACCAGTAAATAAATACAAGGATTTGGGTATATGGTACTATGTGAATGCAGCAAAGGGTTTGATACCTAAATTCTGGCATAGTTCAGAGGTGCCAAGAGAAAAGGACTGGGTAGAGAGAGTGAATCAGATTAGTAGGATGGAGAAATTGTGCTATATCCAAGAAGACAAGATGGAGGTATACAATAGGAGATGGGGGAAATGGGAAGATTTTGTACATCAAACGAATATATGTGAAGCAATGGGAAGTGATAAGTGAAGTTACTTGGTTTTTTAGGGAAAGATGTAAGACAGTGGGTGGGAGTTGGGATGTGGTAGGGAGGAGGGGTAGAGGGAAGGGATATAAAAAGGGGAAAATAGAAAGATATAGGATTAAGAATTTTATATGTTATATGAGATTGTTGAAGAAATGTTTGTTATGTTTTTTTTTCTTTTTCCCTTTTTTATATGTATATATATATATATATATATATGAAAAATTAATAAATATTTGAATTAAAATAAATAAATAAAAAACAAAGAGAAAATATCCAGTGAGTGGCATTTGTGTGGACGAAAATGCATTCCTGATGTCAGAGGTCAGAGAAGAATGGGCAGACTGGTTGCTGCGATATTCAGATGGTAGGGTCAGAATTTGGCACAAACAACATGAAAGCATGGATCCATCCTGCCTTGTATCAACAGTTCAGGCTGGTGGTGGTGGTGTAATGGTGTGGGGGATATTTTCTTAGCACTAGCAAGTTGTAGCTATGAAAGTGGCTGATGAATGTACAGTGAAGGAAATAAGTATTTGATCCCCTGCTGATTTTGAATGTTTGCCCACTCACAAAGAAATGATCAGTCTAAAAATTGAATGATAGATGTATTGTAACACTGAGAGACAGAATAGCAACCAAAAAATTCAAAAGAAATGTATGTCTAACAAATTATGCACTGATTTGCATGTTCATACAGTCATTTCACGTCAAAATATTAAAGGCTGGTTTCAGGATATACTTGAAGGGGTTATATTAATACTTACACTGCCAACAGTTGCCTGTCAATCAATCCACTGCCTTCCACTACTAAGGTGCAGTCGGTAACCGCCATATGAAGTGGGTTGGTAAACCGGATCTCCAGAGCCATTGTTTTGTGCAGCATAGCAGTAGATAGAGGCTGAAAACGAAAAGATGACAGTCAGTCATTTCAGTTGTTTCTACACAGTATTCTATGCTTCCTTATTCAAGCTTATCAATTTAAAGATCCTGCAAAGTCATAAAAATGTTGATCTGCCAGAAATGCATTCAGCTCAGTCCTACTGTGGGCAATCTTGTGGACTAAGGGTTATCAGCCCTTCCCAGTCTCCCTGTTCAGCCACCTGTCTTGGCTTTGTCCAGCTACTTGTAATCCCAGCTGAAAGATCTCTCCCAATCTATGGCAGGATTTCATTACAATAGGAAGAAGGGTCAGCCGCACACCAGAGGATAGATGAATATAGTGTTTATTTATTGATCAATAGGACACACAAAACACCAGGACATGAATACAGGACCTGTTAACGCATTTCACACAATCTCATGCTTAATCATAATAATAATAATAGTTATGATTTAGCACGAGATCGTGTGAAACGCGTTAACAAGTCCTGTATTCATGTCCTGGTGTTTTGTGTGTCCTATGGATCAATAAATATACACTATATTCATCTATCCTCCGGTGTGCGGCTGACCCTTCTTCCTATTGCATCATGTGTGGTGGCGAGCCAGAGCCTGCACCTGTTGTGGATTGATCTGGATTGTTTGCCTGAGCGGTATACCTTTTTGTTCTTAGGATTTCATTACAAATAAATATTCTATAAACTACTATGGAAAGTTCAGCAAGCACAGTGCTTTCAGAGAAAAGTGCCTTATAAAACATGTTACAATGTGTAAGGATTTTTCTTAAAGTCCTTGCACTTTAAAGTGGTTGTAAAGCTCAGACATGAAATATGAACAAACCTTATCCTTCTATAGTGTGTGCTTGTCTCTATTAAGAGCACTCACATATATGCCAACGTGCCGGCCACTTTTTGCACGGGTATGACAGCCCTATTCATTTGAATGGACTCCTGTGCCTGTGACACACAGGAAAGAAGTCCCTGCACGGTTGTGTTTTCCTGTCTGGGCGGCGTGCCATTAGAACTAATGGCACCTGCACGCAGGTCCGAATGTGAACCTAGGGTAAGTGTCATTTCTGTGTGCTGCTTTGATCCTCTGCTATCATCATGAATCACTTCTGACAAGTTTTCCTGCCACCAAGAGAAAAATGGTGACAAGGGAGGGACCTCCCACACTTTAACAGCCTCAGCTCTGTTCCTGTGTGGTGTGTGGAGAGGGGTGTATCCCTTCCCCCCAATCAACTCTCAGAGCTCTCCTCACTGAGCTCTGCACAGTGTAACTTCAGGTCTCTGCCGTCCTTTTGCTGACAGCTCAGACAAGCTTTACAAATTCTGGATATTGAACAGGTATAGAGTTAAGAAGACTGCGGGTAAACAGGTACAACTTATGTAGGAGGATTTATTTAATCTCTGTGTATCACCTGAGACCAGTCACTTCACTAGCTATATGTAAGGGTTTACAACCACTTTAAAGTGACTTATTAAATAGACAAAAAAAGTTGTGTAGCGCTGGGTGCTACAATGAAAGATCGACTTCAGGTTGACCTTACACTGCAATTCCCTGATGACATTTTTCTCCCTTGCTTAATCATTGACATTTATTCTCTACATTTTTTGGACTTATCTTCCACACCATAGGTGTTTTTGACCCTTGTAGTGCCATGAGGGTCTAGCTGTTTAGGTCCTGCTATAGCATAATGAACATTCTGTGGTCAAAGATAGTCATTTATTTGTAGTCCTGGTTGATACAGTCCTTTTGCTGAGCCAAAGCACAAATAATTCCCCTGTTGAGATTTTACAGTTGGTGTTGGAGAACACTTCCACAAACCATTTCCATAATTACTACTTCTATATTAATTGATAGGCCAGATTCCATTGTAACAATAATTTTGTTAGTTCCTAAACAAGAGTAACCACATACCTGTGAGTGGGTGGGGGTAAACGATCTGGTTGGATTGTTTTTTCCTGATTTATGACTGAAGAAGTTAAATGAATAAGTTCACAAACTAATTTGCATAAGTAATTAAAATATATTGTCTACTTTGACAAACTGCCAGTTGACCTTGCCATTCAAGCAAAAACACAGGCATTCCTACATTGGGAGCACTTGAATTGCATCACAGTTCTGCATAATCCTCTGGACCAAGGACCCTCAGTCCCACTTTTCTTCTTTACTGTTCTTCTTTTTGTTCTGATATAAAGAACTTGGTAAACAAAATTAACAGAAGTGTAATATTGCACTAGACCTTTCCCGCTACACCTTTAAATGTGTGCATTTATTTTCACACTTGAGTATTAAGAAAAAGAGGTGTCAGTTAAAATCATAGGACCCCATAGCAAAGTTATGACAGGGTCCTCTCCCTCCCTGAGTTAGACATCAGTTTCTAGGGTGATAAATAAACTGTTACGAAAAAAGTGCCCTAGAGGGGGGCTGACTTACATAAACAAGAGAAAGAGGGAAAGATTGTCCTGGAGACCTTAGGAGACTGTTTCAGGTAGATAAAGACTGTCCAGGAGAGGCTTGGGGTGCAACATAAAAACCTTTCTGATGGGCTTACAGGGAAGCATCCTGTTTCTCCCCTGACTTGGACAGAGGGAGAGACGGTCTTGCAGACGCTTCTACGAACACATAAAGTCTGTCATGAAGATGTTATGAGATTGCCCTTGGAAGAAAAGGGCTGTCTTGGGGAGCTTTAGGAGAGGCAAAAGAGAAAAAAACCTTCTCTGAAGGTCCTAAATGGAAGCATCCAGTACCTTTCCTGCTTTAAAGAGATGGAGAGAAGATGTCCTGGTGACATTAAGAGACTATCCTGGGGCCACAAAGAGACTGTCCTAGACACACTAAAACTCTCTTGGGAAGAGAATGACTGTTATGGAGAGCTCTGAGAGGGACAAAAGAACATTTCTGAAGGGCCTACAGGAAAGTATCCTGTTCCTCGCCTAGCCAGGGATAACTTCAAAAGCCTAATCTTGTGATTTTTTACTGTCACTTTTAAGGAACTGGCCACTGCAGTCAGTTCAGACTGGGAAAGGAACATCATAGAGTTATGCTAAACATTTTTAAAGCAATGTCAGCAAATCTTGTTCTACTCAATACAACCTGCTTGGTCCTCCCTCATCCCTGGGCCCCACTTCAGCTGCCTAAGCTGCTATTGTTATAGTTTATATCTTTGGGAAAAGTAGTGGTGACGAAGGCATTAGTGGGTTTAATCAATCTTTTTTTTGCATGAATTCTTTTTGGCCTTCCTAAAATGGGATCATGGCAGGGATCTGTGCTTTACCTATATACATTTCATTGACTATCTCCCTCTTTCCTATCTCAGAAAACTGGAAGGTTTGGTCATGGAACCCCTGTTGATTGGGATCTTTAGTGTCACTTTCTCTGCTATTCCATATCCAAGACTTGTATATCTATTACATATCAATACATGCTTTCATTGCCTTTTTCTATATGTTGTGGGGACTGGAAGCAGACTCTCCTAAATATATGTTTTTGTACATGTATAAATATTTATAGCAACAGGTCAACCATTTTATTCTACCACAAAAACAAAATTAGGACTTTCTGGGCGGTGATCTCCTATAAGTTTTGTGTTCAACATACAGTACATCTATACTGTCTTTTTATATTACCTTAATAATAATCGGTGGATTCTCCAGCACAAGATCCTTAGTGACGACCACTTTTGCTCCAAATGGTAATTCACAAAGGGCAACCATTTGAATCATATTACCCTCATTAAGACCTTTGCTGTAGTGGGAGTATGGTATTTGCAAGGAAATATGTGCATCTGGAAAGAAAATATAAGTAATAAGAACTGGCTCGCAAAAAAGTAAGCATACAAGGAAATGTGTAGTAATTAATTGTGTTTGCAATAAAAGGTTTTCCTGCCCGCTTTAAAACTGTCTGCAAGTTCACATACTAAATGAATTATCTGCTAAATTCTATATCACCTGCATTAAAGTATGAAGTGGTGTGAATGTACCATATGTTGGGGCATAACTAGAGGGGAGGCAGATCATGCAAGCACTACTGAGGTATTGAAGTGTGCTCACTTATATTAAAATACAGTAACTAGACACAATCCATTGAGATCCACTATAAAAAAGAGACATCCTAAAAACCCGTTAACCAGAGGAAGGTCAAAAAACTTAAAGCGAAACTTCACCCAAAAGGGAAGTTCTGCTTTTCCACCTCCTCCTCCTCTACCATTTTTTGGACAGTTTTTTTTTTTTGGGGGGGAGAGTGGGTACCTGTGACATACGGTCACTTTATCTATTCGCCCCCTCTCCGGCCACAACCTTTGGGATACTTTACAGGTCCCAGAAGGCTGCAGGACCATTCACAAAGCGCAGTGCGGTTCTTGCATGCACAAAGGACAACCGGCTATGAAGTTGAGTTGCAAGGAGTTACAGCCCGCTGCCCACAGGGACCCAAAGACCAGTGAAGAACCAGCTCAGGTGAGGATGGTGCTGGATCCTTGGACAGGTAAGTGTCCTTTTATCAAAAGTCAACAGGTGCATAATTTGTAGCTGCTGACTTTCCATTTTTTTGTTCCTAGGGTGAAGAACCACTTTGAAGCTTGGTACACTTAGTTCATTCTACTATGACATCTGAATAAGTAGTTGCCTACAGGGTATGCTCTACGTCCTATTGTAGAATATTCCAAATTTTTCTTACTCTTTCATTAAAGAGCCCTTTCCATATGAAAAAGTAAACCAAGGGGTGTCCTCATGTCTTTGGAAATGAACTCAGTTTGAACAATTTTCTGCAAGGAACTTTCTGTTATTAAACAACAGGGGTGGGCATTTAATTTTCATAAGGGGCCATATGGGAAACGGGGAGTGTTGTGGAAGACCAAACTTAATTTTTCTAAATATTAATTTTGAACTGGGAAGGTCTATAACTACATAAACATGTAGAAAAAAAACACCTGTTGTTAGGAATAAAAGGTACAACTGCTCATGAAATATGTCTCTTCCAGGCAGGTGGTTGGGGGGTTGTTTTACCACCATCCGGCCATCCACCTAAATTGTAAAATAACAGTTGGACAGGGCGGTTCACATTTTTAACTCAGGGCACAAACTTTGACAAGTGGCACTGCTTGTCAGACTCACCCACTGAATTCAATGGGTCTCAGTGAGGAAGCAGACAGCGGAAACATCAATGGCCGAACAGGGACAGCCAAAGAGCCAGGTGTGGCCCTGGGGCTGCAATTTGCCCAGGTCTGTTATACAAGGTATTCATAACCCATCTTTCCTAGGTGTTCCTTGTGTTATCGGCTGGTTGACATTATTGATGGCATACTAGCAGGGGCAGACTGACCATTTGGAAACTTGTGCATTGCCCGAAGGCCCAGGGTCAGTAAGGGACCCCATAAGATGCCCCTGGTACCTTTTTCATAGGCTTTTTAGAGTTTGGGCAAGGACACAGGGGCCTCATGATCCCCTATTGCCCGGGGGCCCATGAGTTGTCAGTCCGCCCCTGCATACTATTTAAATATCAGTTATTTTGATAATCTAAAAAAAAATATTAAATTTTTTTTTTTACCTTTTTATTAGATTTTTTTTGTATGATATAGGAGTGTGGCCCCTGTTCAGAATCAGCACTGGCATTTAGATACATATCTGTCTTTCAGTAATTCTGAGCCAATCCCAATACACAGGCCATAATTAGTAGAATCTATTTCTGAAATGTTTTTAAAGCCTTTAGAAAATAATACATTTAATATGTGGAAATGTTAATATTATGTTTAAGTATCTTTTTAAAAACAATAGAAAAATAGGGATGACTTTGCTTTCTTTACATTCCTCTTGTGTCTTTCCCAACCTATAGAAAGTAAAACAGTGCAGCCTGGTGGACACTTTGTAAGCTGCAATTATAGCTTTCAGAGTCCTCTGTGCTAGAGAGACATTGTGCATTGCCATGACACCTGTAATGCTAGTCGATGCTTGTTGCATACATGCATTTTAGGGATGTGACCATTTATTTTTATGGAGCCCCCAATGTGGATTCCTGTATCAAACAATGTACATGATACAGGCAAGGCAGTGCATTGCATACACCAGATACCTGCTCTGCATTGCAATGCATGTGGAGGGAACCCACAACACTGGAAAACTCATATTTGGAATTAAATGCCAATACCAAATTAACGCTTTGGTCAATTATAAAAAAAAAAAAAATGCAGAGCTACACAGTGCACTAGTAATTTTGAGTCTAGCAGCAGCACACAAACTCTATGTATGCGCCTGGTCAGTAGTGCTTAAATTATATGTAAAACCCTCACCTTGTAAAAGAACCCATTCAGTTTAAAATAGATATGAAAGGTAAAACATTTGTGTACACATATGAAAAAAATATTAACACCTTTTTTCTCACTTTTATAAGTGATCACATAATCTCTGTTCTCAGAAGCATAAGAGCTAAGGGAGGAGATACAGCAGCACACCAGTCTTCCCTCTGAATGGCTGTGAATATGAAATGTTGGGATTACATATTCTTTAAATCCCAACTTCAGCCAGCTTGTTATTTAATTTTGAATAGAGTAGGGAAGCATTAGAGACTTACTTTATCTGTTCATCTGTGTCTTTGTTCGAGAGGTTTTTCCTCATCCCCATCATCCCTTTGGAAATATGTCCAACATATTTTTAGTAGAATGGAGAAGACTTTGAACTTGTGGAAAATCTGTGGAATTAACTAAGCTTTCTGCGCCATTAACCTCTTGGTGCTGAGCGCACGCAAATATGCAGCTTCTCGGCCACTGGGCCTTGGCCCAATATTTGCGTACCCATTATAAACAGATGTGCCAAGAGTGTGCACCCTGCGCACTCCCAGCACATTTACCGGCTCCTCATGGAAAGGTACCGATAAGTACTTGCGTTTGGGAGCTTTCTGATCATGTGACCGCTCTGACAGCCAATCATGGCGGTCACATGACCCTAAACCAGGGGCGGACTGACCATTTGAGCACTCAGGCACTGCCCGAGGGCCCGGGGTCAGTAGGGGCCCCATGAAATGCCCCTGGTACCTTTTTATAGGCTTTTTTTGGTGTGGGCAAGGACATAGGGGCCCCATGATCCCCTATTGCCCGGGGGCCCCATGAGTTGTCAGTCCGCCCCTGCCCTAAACCCCACCTCCCGGGGTCACAAATCCCTTAAGGGCCAGGAGGTGCTGGCGCCAAGGGGTTAACATTGGTAAAGGAAACTGTTGTGAGTGTCTTGCACCACATTAACTGAGCAGATGGACCTGTTTCAAGTGTATCTGCATCACCTGCGTCAGTTTCTGTTTCAGAATTGACTGGGGCAGGGTCTGCACCTAATTAACAGAAGAGCACTACAGAAAACTCCCACAGATTCCTCCCTGGTCTGACGTGGCACACGGGATGCCAATGGTAATTCAACCACACAAGCAGAGTCTGCAGGGTTAACAGCCCTCATCCTCATACCCCCTTTGAGCTGATCTGGGGTGTGGACAGGCAGAGAGTTCGGAGCATGCAGTTCCAGCTCTCCTGTTCTCTGTGCTGATTCTGTCACAGGCTGGATTTAGGCTTTAACAACTAAATTTGAAAATGTAATATAATCTCTAAAGATGCAGGCATACAACCCACGTGCCTGCATCTAGTGATGCCACTGATTGTAATAAACAGAAGCTATATTATATAAATTCAGAACAGTTACTTTTATCGTGGCTGTTTCAGAAAATTTTTTCATAACAGTAATTTCCTGCATTTTCCTTTAGCAACAAAATTGTTCTCATTGTTATGCTATGGTGCAGAATTGTTTTGGACTAGTGAAATTTTTTAAAGGTCTAATATTATCTAGTGATACCTGAACAGTACAATTAGGCTCTGTTCACATATAGGCATTTTAGGTATTTGTTGAACAAATTTTGAGCTCCAAATATTCTGTCTCAGCTATATATTTACTGAGGCTCTGTTCACATATAAACATTTTGAATCATGGGTGGAATCAGCACGATTCTGCCTGAAATCTCAAAACGCGCTGTTAAAATGTCAACTCACACATCAGGGTGTTCAGGTGGCATTCATATCAACGGCACCTAAAACACGGGGTGATCCCACCACGATTGTCGCACGAAAAATCGCACTGTAACAATGAAAACCAAATCCAGTGACATATGTTGCTGGATTTGGTTTGCACGATTGCGGCACACAACAATCGCGGCAGAATCACCAGGCATTTTTAGGTGGCCTTGAAATAAATGGCACCTGAACACACTGATGTGCGATTTGACATTTTAACAGCGCAGTTTTAAATCGCAGGCAGCATCGTGGTGATTCCATCCGTGATTCAAAATGCCTATATGTGAATGAAGCCACAATAAATATATAGCTGTGATAGAATATTTAGAGCTCAACATTTGTACAACAAATCTACCTAAAACAGTGATTTCCAGAAGAAGGAACCAACTTACTGCCTAAAGAATGCAGCCATTATTGTGCATTAGAATGATTAAAATAATAATGCTGTATTCAATTTTATTATGGAGCTAATAAAGTATATGGGTATTGTGATCTACTCCGATAAGAAGAATTAATTGACACTAATTTAATGCCAGGAATACTCTTCTAACTTACATTTAATACAATAGAATGTTTTTTGACGTACCTTGGTTTGGGCTGATAATCAACGACTTCTGATCTGTGAATATGTCATTCACTCGTTTCCCAGTATAGAGAATAGCAGAAGCACTAAGAATAACCTTAACTGGTCTGTGATAAGGTGTAAGATTTTTAAGAACCAAAAGCAGGTTAATATCATCTCCTATCACCAGGGGACTGAGGAGTTTAAATTTCCCAGCAATATCAGTCCCTGCAGATGCAGAAGAGGAAGGTTGTGAATGAGCGGCAGGCCTATAAGCATTTGCTGAATTTGATGCATTCGCTGCATGACCAGAGAACAGAGAAGGTGATGATGGTCTTCCAGTTGGAGCAGCTGGTGAAGGTGATGCAGGCCGATATCCAGTTCCTGAAGAAGGGACAGGGGATGCATGACCTGAGGGTAAGGCAGGTGATAATGGTCTTCCAGTTGGTGTAACCGTTGAATTTGGAGAAGGTGATGAGGGCCTGTATCCATTTCCTGATGGTTGGGCAGATGATGAACGACCTGAGAAAGGCACAGGTGAAGATGATCTTCCGCTTGCTGCAATTGGTGAATTTGGTGATGGCGAGCCAGGCCGGTATCTGCTTCCTGAATGTGGGGTAGGAGATGAACGACCAGAGAACAGAGCAGGTGATGATGGTCTTGCAATTGGCGAAACCAATAAAGGTGATCCAGGCCGGAAATCATTTCCTGAAGGCTGGACAGATGAGGAACGACCTGAGAAAGGCACAGGTGATGATGACCTTCCCCTTTCTGTAGCTGGTGAAGGAGATGAGGACCGGTATTCATTTCCTGAACGTGGTGGAAGTGTACGACCTGAGAACATGGCAGGTGATGATGGTCTTCCAATTGGTGAAGGAGATGCTGGCCGGTATTCGTTTTCTGAAGGCTGGGCAGGTGATGGTCTATTTAAGTACCTTGTAGGTGATGATGGTCTTCCCCTTTCTGCAGCTGGAGAACTTGGTGATGGAGATGCTGGCCGGTGCTCACTTCGTGGTTGCACTGGCTGACCTGAGAATGGTGAAGGAGATGATGATCTTCCATTCATGTTGGAATTTGGTGTAGGGGTTGATGATCGCATTGGGGAGACATTTCTATTCCTGTTTGTCATATTACTGGATTCTGTGCTTACATTTTCCATTGGTGGTACATAACTAGGCATGTTCTTGCTGGCCTTCTCAAATACCTGCCTTTCTTGTGGAGAGCCTGTTTTAAAGAGCGTACAAAAACATTTTAAAATCTGCTTTTGTAACATTTTAATGAATAACATTTAAATATTAAAGCCATGTGCATTTATAAATGTTCCAGAATACAGTATGTTTTAGTACAGTATGTTATTCCTTATTAAACCCCCAAATTCCAAGTACAAACATTGGCAAATGGCCACCGATGGAAATGGCCCAAGAAGACGCAATGTCCCAAACTTATATAGTGGCCACTAAATTATGCACCATTCACATTAATTTCAATGAACACGAAAAAGTTCATAATCTAGACCACTATCGCACTCACACACTTTAGGAGCAATTTTTGGAGAAGGTCAAAAACATGATTTGAGGATGTGGGAGGAAACTGTAACACCCAACATAAACATGGGGAAGAAAATACAAACTCCATGTGAATGGCTTCTTTGGTGGGAATTCAGAACTTTGACTATCATCCATTTTGAAAAGATCAGTCTGAATAACGTATGCTGTGATTGCCGTGTTTGTAGGATTTAGAGTGGTTCTAAAGGCAGAAGGTTTCTTTACCTTAATGCATTCTAAAAGCCTTCCGAGTTCCAGAAACAACAGTGCACATTTTTTTTAAATCTGCCTAAAACACACTAAGATTAACTGCCGCGATATACATTTTTAAAAAAGTTTCGATTTTATCCTACCTAAAATACACTGACCCTGACCTTTGACCCCAACGTTTTCACCTGACCAAGCCTTTGACCTTATCCTGACACTGACCTGGATTAAACTCTGATCTAGCTATTTTTTTCTCATTTATTTAATATTATTATTTCTTTTTATGTTTACACATACCTCTTTATTTACATTTTTCTCCTCTTGCAAAGAGAAAAAGATGCAATGTATATTTTTCTCCATTTAAGAGGAGAAAAAAAAAATAAAGGGGCAGTGACTGATCAGAGGCTATCACAGTGATCGTGTAATCGGAACTGGGCCTCCTAGTTCCCCATCATTAGTACAGGTCCCAAGGCTCTCGTTAAGAGCTTAGTCTCATAGTGCACTATGCAGCATGCTCCCAGCACAAACAAAAATAAAGACCCACTTTTGTGAGGTTGTATATGTGTTCATTTGTTGGGAAGGGTTTAAAATAGAAGATTTCTAATGTTCCACTTTCATGACAAATCCAAAAATAAAAGGTTTATTTCCAATTTTAGGTTAATAGTAAAATTATTCCTTTTGCAAATTATTCATTTTTCTCCTAGGTCAAATTTGCACACAGAAACACTGTATCTGTACTATATACCTGCAGTTCTGCATGGACACTATGGCTAGGAGCTTAAAGGAATGGTTTGCATGACCCAACTCAAACTCCTAAAATGAGGAGTAAACATCTGGTGATTGGAGAAAGACATACAGACACCTTCTCATTTATAAAGGCTCTACTGCATTTGGCTGCATTATCGTCATAAGCTACAGTATATTTTGCATGGTAAAGTATATCCAATGAAAAATTTCATCTCACATCTGAATCTGACTGAATTTGGGCCTGAATAGTTTCCTGAATTTTTTTTCGGGTGTTATATTATCATCTTCAATTAAGGAATCAGTAATAATTTGATCTGTGTTAACGTGAGTAGTAGTATAGGCCAGCGGCGGACTGACAGCTCATGGTGCCCCCGGGCAATAGGAAATCATGGGGCCCCTGTGTCCTTGCCCACACTCAAACCACACCCAAAAAAGCCTATGAAAGGTTCCAGGAGCATCTCATGGGGCCCCCTACTGACCCTGGGCCCTCGGGCAGTGCCCGAATGGTCAGTCCACCCCTGGTATAGACTCAATCCTTGCATTCTTGTTTTCTACGAGCATAAAAGAATTACTCATATTCGGAGATGGTGGTAACTATACCTACTGAATGAACAGTAGGGAATACAATTAATCCTATGTTCCTATAAATATATATATACTGTATATATATATATAGGCTTTAAAAGTTCCACTAGTCTGCTCGCATTTAGCAGGCCATGGGCTCTGGCCGCACTGGGAGATGCTGGTGCTGGATGAGAGAATAGCTTCCGTGTGTGATTGCAGGTACCCGGGGCTGCTGCTGGTGGGGCGAATCTCTGTTTTGAGAGGCTGAGGTAACAGACCTGGATGGGAGGGAGGGAGTGAGGGAGGATGGACACTTTTCTGGGAGAGTCCCCATCTTACACAGCTGTGAATACTGACACATCCCCAGTAAGGTGAAGCCCTGCATACAGCTATCTTCCAGTGTTAGAGAGGAGAGGAGAGGCTGTGTGTCTGCTGTCTCTAGCTGTGGTTGGTGGTATAAACAGCTGTGTACATATGCCTGATCATTATTGACCATCTTATCACAGAGGGCTCATCTTATCATGAGAGGGGTCTCCTTGTGTCCAGTGAGGGGGTGATGGGGCTCCATTAGCATTCAGGCTGATGATTGTAACTGTATTGGGGACATTGGGGGCAATGCTGGGCTTGGCCTGGCTGGTCATACATGGGGAGATGTCTTGGAGCCACTACAACATGTTGGTTGAAAAATAAAGGAGGGACATCATGATAGCAGTGACACGGGGGCTTTGCCGAAAAAGGTGACAATCATGTGTGCTCAGAAACCTGAGATACTACATCTCCATGTTAATATCATTAAACTTGTTAATATTTATTTTTGTAACTTTATCAGTGTCATTTCATGAGATAATTTACGAGGGAGTACATATATCTGATAAAACAATATACAATTTTTATAAATGTAATTTTGTGTTTTGTGATAAATCAGACGTGTACAGTATATGATTGTAGCGACTTGACTGTAAATAGATTGTCATTTGTTTTATCATTGCGTGGTCTTTACCCACATGGAAGAAAAATATATGTGAAATATATTTTTAAAATATTCTTCCCAAATATATTGCCATATATTTGAAATGCTACAATTTTGGCCATATTCAATATATTTTAAAAAATATTATATTATATATATATATGTGTGTATATATACTGCATGTTGAAATGCGTTTTTATTACAAAATATATGAAACATATTTTTTAAAATACATTTCAAATATACGGTATGTCTTTAAATGTTTTTTAATGTTAAAAAATCTGAAGAATATTTTTTTAAAAAATATATTTTTTTAAAAATATATATTTTTTAAATATATTCTTCAGATTTGTTTTAACATATAAAAGTCATTTTAACATATATTTTTACATATATTTGTAAATACATTAAAAAATGTAGCTTTTTATTTTTAAAGACATACAGTATATTTGAAATGTATTTCTAAAAATATTTTTCATATATTTTGTAATAAAATTGCATTTCAACATGCATTATATATATTGTTGTGTTGCACAATTTGATTTATTATTATTTCTCTGTGACTATCACTTGTTTATTATTGCTCTGTGTCTTTAAGCTGTCTCTTTATGTCTAAGCTGAGATCTTTCTCTCACCGTACTTGTGTATATCCCCCCTGCCTCTCTCTGTAATCATTCCACTATATCCTATCTTACCGAATGCATCTTTCCATGAGGCTACAACATTAACATTTTTCTATCTATGATTACTCTCCATTAAATGGAACATTTGTATGGGTTTCCTCATCCCACTTCCTCAACATGTGAGTTTATTCATTGAATTAAACTATCTGACCCAATGCAAGGGATAAATTCAACACCATGTGGTATAGCTGTATACATCGCTGGAGATAAAGTTTATGGCCTGGTAGTTGAGTCAGAATAGTAGAAAAATGGAGTTACAGCCTAATTACAAGATTCCTGGGTGAAAATATTGATACAGACAAGATTTATTGCTCATTGCAAAGCAAGAAGACAGCACGTGTAACCCTCCATAACTAGCCCAGGCCATCTGATTTCCCTCTTGTTTATCTGTCAGTCATTATCTGCCTTTTTCAACATGAGTTACAAGAGCTCTGTCTGTGAAGAGATGTCACACACAGCAGAC